TCTGGCCATTTCACAGATGTTATAACTGTCGTAAATGATTGGATGTTTCACTAAAATCTCATCGAACACTTCCTCTCGCATTTGTTCAAGCTGGTTTTCATCTATTTCTGGTAAAACATCTTCCAGATCATCGTCGTCAATAGTGCTTACAGGAGCATCATGAAGGGTTTTCTTGGAAGACAATCGAGAAAAAAATCCTGTGATCTGTTTGGATGTCAGATAATCATCCGATTGGAAAAGGAAAGTACCATCAGTATTGCGGGCTTTTCGCATTGCTTTGGATACGTTGTCTGGATCAGCCTTTCTTCCAGTTTGTTCTCCAAGAATAAAGAGATCTGTAAGATATTTCTTTTGCTGATCTGTAAATCGGCGTCGTCCAGTGGCCCCTCCTTTCAAAGCCCAACCCATAGGAGACAAAACTTCTGCCACCTGCGCTAGTTTACCTGTCAGATTCGAGGCGCCTTCCCCCTCTACAGCTGACTCGCCGGTTTCAAGGTTCTCAGCATACTTTAACATAGCCTTGTCGAGGAATGATTCTCTCTCTAGTGAATATTGGTGTTTACCAAAGTCTAGATGGCGTTCGAGGTATGAATACTTTTGATACGCTTTGATGCACCCTTCTTCTGGGCATGTGAACAAGGCTTCATAGTCCGTGTCATYGTCGTCAGCATCGGTAGCTTGTGTCACAATTMGTTGAYCTTTTACTTTGTTGTTCCGTCTAGGTTTGACACCAACGAAGGCAGGGGAAGGTACAGCATCTTCAATCTTTGACAGTGTTGGCAATTTGGTTGAATCTGGCAGATCAAGATCACTATATGCAATTGACTTCCCCTTTCCAACATTGTATGCTCTCCATACCATCATTTCCTCATTTTTGAAAACAATGTCATTTATGGCACTGACGCCTTCCCATTTCGGAAATGAATCCAGATGTGAAGCTTGAAGAGATTCACAATGCACCACGCTAACACCTTGTACTCCACCATTTGCAACTATGGCAGTTTTCATCTGTGCTGCATTGGATATGTCGTAGCCGGAGTTTAGATACGACCGCATRTGGTTCTTGATGTTTGCTGCTTTGCGGTCACATGGGCCTTTACCGCCTTGGGGGTCGGAGAAATCCATCCTTACCGYCACGTTATGTTTTACGGCCAGTTGCCGAACACCAAGAATTGTGAGTGAGCTGTGATAACACCCAGCGTTATCTTGTCTGAGGTTAACACAGCTCAAATCGGGCATASCGCRTTTCAGTTGRTGGATGACGTCATCTATTATAGCTAGCACATAATAGCTGTCTTGATTGCTCTTTTCGAAAAGATGTACCAGCGTCAGCATCTCCAGACTTTTGCTTTGTGACTGACRMATAGCGACACTGATGTGCCACGAAAGCCCTCGTTTTCCGAACCAGTCGGCTTGGCTTTCTCGGAACTTTCGTGGTACAAACTTCATCGCCCAATCAAGGACCACAAGCACAGAGTTGTTGTCTAAACTTTTCATAATGTCTAGACGACCTTCGTCTTGGTTGACAGAGCGCAATAAATGCGCTTTCCACGCATCTACGTTTTTCTTTGATTGCGCAATAATAAATACCATCTCCTCTGATTCTTCGTGCGAGAGATTGGCCTTATCGATAACTGCTTCTATTTCTCTAACTGCATGGGGGAACAAATCACAGCGATCACAATATTGATCATGTTGGTGATCACAAGAGCTCAAGTGATCAGGTTCTTTAGCGTAACTAAGGGCGAACGGCCTACAATGGTCTGGTACGCTTGAGCTAGCTGAAACATGAACCTAGAATAACAAAATAAAAACGATGATGATGATAATAGCTTATAATAGCAAAATGTACTTTTGTTTCTACCACTTTTGTAGTTTTGCTTCGATTGTGCGACAAGATAATTTTGTGGTTTGACGATGACTACAGACTATTGGYTTGCTTACTCATTCACAGTGAAAATAAGAACACTTTAGTACATCTACCGCTTTAAAGCTATACTATCCATACCTTTTTTTAMTGAGTGTCATTTCTTGACTGCTTACCTTATAATCCGCTTTCATGTAACGCTTTGACAATTTGAGTTTTCTTGTGATTTCTTTCGTCCATGCTAAACCACCTTCACAGTAGTCGCCTAGTTTGTCGACAATTTCAATGAGGTCGTCAAATGCCTTTGCACCGTCGGATGTAAAGTAATCTAACCCTTGTAGGGAAGTGCGAGTGGAAGCAGCGCAAACCTTTAATACTCTGTAGATACTACTTCGGCTAAGTGGAGACTGGAACCCAGTGTCTACACAATAACTGTTGTATTGTTTCGCGATGTGACTAGGAATGGTAGACCTTACGACATTTGGAACTGTAATTGAATTTCCAGATGACAGCTTGAGTGTTTTTTCCCCAAATGGCAAATCCTGAATTATTCTTGTGCTAGTTATGAATGCCAGGAAATGGTCTAATTTATCTTGTGACACCCTMGTCCTCGTTTGCTTCTGCTGTGTGACTTCAGCTCCTCTGCCGTGCAGTAGGACGTGTCGCCGGGCAATATTGTAACGATAATGAGAAAGATCAGGAAGCCATTTCTGAAGGGTTGAAAAGCTCACCTTGTCAGCAATTATTGAAAGTATTTGTCTTTGTGAGCTCCAGTGGCTTGCATTACTGTAGCATTCAATCAAAGCTTCTAACAGGGCTGYATTCATGCCATCACTTTCTTTGTGTACTTTTTGTAATTCATTTAGGAGCATTTCGGAACTTTGGGGTGCGATTTCTTCAAGCGTAGCTTGGACTACTTGTTTAGCTTTGCGAATATGGAAGCGCTTGGTGCGTTCTGCAGCTTCATCCCATGGTGTTGTCATAACTTTTCTGATTGGGCTGACATCCCTGGATGCGAGGAACAAATTTAGTTTTTCTCTTGGAGACATCTCTTCTTTAGCCTCTTCGAGGTACGACATGTCTGCAGAACACTCTGACAATCCAGAAGGACTAAAGAGGGTTGACACTGCACTTCCAGGAGTCTCTTTTACAATAGTTGACAATTGCTTTGGAGTACTAAATACAACATCTTCGTCCTAATGAAAAAGATGAAACATATTTCAGTTGTTTTATCATAGATAGTATTAGTATCCATGGTTGGCTAGNTTTTTTGGGCTTCCTGTGGCAACATTTCCTAGCCCACTTGCGAGTTTTGACTCAGTAGTCACACACAAAGGAATCAAGACGAGGCGCCGTGCATAAAGCTCAGTCATTCGTGAAAAGACAATGCCGCTTATAAAAATAAATTCAATTACTTATCATGTTTAACTTAGTTAAAGATTGGGAAGTCGAAATAACAACTAAATCTGATAAATGTATATTCATATTTTATGTTACCTGAACCGGCTGGAATAAATATGCCAGTTTTTTTCAGCAATGCTTCAGATTCGTCTTTGCCTAGACCCCTATCTCCCTTTGGCCAGGATTTTCTTGTTTTGCTGTGATTTGATACAGGAGGCGGTACCCTACATCTAGTGCTTGAACCTCTGGTCCATCCATTGCCAAGTTTTGATCGGTGGAGAGGACATATGGTCATCGAACTGACATTATCTGGCATACTAAATATGGCAGCACGACACAAAATGAGGTCAACCTKATGTTCTGGCCCRGTGAARGCAAAAGACAACTTGTGATTTGAAATATCTCGTGAACAGGATAGTAAAGGAACTACTTGAACAACTGAYCTAGTTTTATCACGATAATCAACACCGCATYTACCACCAGCAATTGATTTGAATGAACAGCAAACTTCCATGATCGGTGTTAACTTACCAGATTGAATCTGGTCAAATCCTCGCGGTATCAAGTAGCCTGCGTCTCACGTGATTAGCAACTAATAGCTATTTATATCAACTACTGGTTCAACTACTGTAAGTTAAAATGTTTTTCAACACTCGATAAAATTGCACAGTACTCTAAAHARATTTAATGAGGATTCCAATTCTACGTTAACAACTGGTACAAATACAACCGAAAAAACATTGAGTTATGYGTTTCCTGTGTCTAATTATATGCACGTSTTGACAAGTTCGAAACCGACATAGACGTGATGATGGTWTTTCCAGCTAAAATATCGRAAATCTTCGCACTTTTRAAGAGTCCGAGGTAAMATTCTCTACAGAACTAATAATATATAAGCGAACAAGCGATTTTGAGCGATGTTATTGGCATTAACCGATTAATTTTGTAAGGATCCGTTGTGTTTTGGTTTCCGCCAAAGGTCAAGTTGATGTCAAATTTGAGACCTTGTAGCGTTACTACCAAACAATCGCCCAAGGATTTGTTTAAGCCACTCAAAGAATATCATTTCAGCATTACAATAACCATGTTTCACGTCGTTTAAAGGTTTAGCAAATTCAGAGTCGACTTTTTTGTTTACTATACTTTTTAAGGCTGTGAAAAGGGGGCTAGCGAAAAATATTATCTTTATGTGTTCTAATCTTTCAAATGAACTCAAATTCACGCAAATGGTAAATAAGATATAGTATTACAAGGGCTCAAAATGATTTATCGGATAGTGTTGCTCAGTGTTCACTTAAACATTCAAAAAGTCAAGCCAAAATTGAACGGCAAAATTAGCATATCTGGGTGCCTATAGAAAATCTTGATTTTCTCCATTTAAAAGCGATATTTGAGCAAACCAAATACCTGYCGATTCTTAGGATACATTACCCTACCTAACAACAAAATATGAGTGAAATCGATTTTTGCACCGGTGCCACGATTTGTTTGACCATTACAGACATTCACTCTTAAGCGTTTAAATTTCCTTGTGCTTGAAAAAAAACTAATATAAATATACAAATGACAAAAAACTAGCAAAACTTTATGAATGAAACAGTCAATGAGTTCCTGAATTGAAATTTAACGTGACATTTGTCCAAATTCACCGTTTCTCTCTTGGTTTGTCTGCAGAATTCTATCAGAGTCGTAGCCAAAGCAGTCTTTGTAGCTTTGTAGTGTTTTCCAAGTCTTTGTTGACAACCATTTCGTCTATTTCTTGACTAAGATTTGAAAATCTGTTTTGATGCCGGCTCCATTTTGTAAGCAGTCGAAAGCATCAAAAAACATTCCCGCCTTTACAAACTGTTACTCGACGCGAGGCGGCCTTTTCCCGCCAAGCGGTCAACAATCGCCAACTTGTTCACAGGCAACCCAAGCAAAGCATTTGATTCAAATTCTTGAATCCGTTCAAGCATTCATCGAGCTTGATGGACACCGTTTATCAAACTCCCTCTGATTGGACGACAGTTACCATGGAATCAGTTCAAATACTCCCGACTACTATGGGGAGTGTAGGAATTTGATAACGCTTGAAAGACTTTGCATTTGCATCACTCCTGAAAATAAACCTGGCAGTGTA